AGCATACTGAGGAAAAAACTTAATGACCATATTTACTAAGATTAGTTCACCAAAAAGGATGGTCGTCTCACATCTCCACACTGGTGAAGAAAGCTCAAAACGCCTGTATTTCTTGAGGAAGCTTAAGAAATTCCCACACCAAGTTCTTGTCAGCTTTTACAAAGGCGCAATAGAAAGCATCCTGACTGGAAACATCACAAACTGGCACGGGATGTGCACGGCCCGGGACCGGAGGGCTCTGCAGCGGGTGATTAAACTGCTCAGAAGATCAATGGTACCCATCTCCCGAGCATCAGTGATATCGGTGAGGTGTCTATTTAGAGCCCAAAGGATACTAAAAGGACAGTACCCACCCAGCCACAGCCCATTCACCCTGCTGCCTTCTGGGAAGAGACAGAAGTTTCAGCTGCCACACCACCAAAGCAGCTTTTTCCCCACCAAGCTATCAGACTTTTAAGCTCAAATTCATCCTCAGCACTGCTCCACTGATTACAGTTTATTTCTGTTTACCATTTTTATAATTGCTTCTTTATTAATGCATATATCTGCTATATAGCAGAAGGGAGTTACAAACTCAATTTCAATATATAACTTGTTATATTATGACAAATAAATGTCCTTACCTACCTACCAAAGTACACTATTCTGGCCAGTGACTATTTGAGCATATTTTCTTTTCAAATTCTATCCTCTTGTCCTGTGTCTCTTAGCAACTAGACAACACCTTTTAATCCTAATCTAAGTTAGACAAGTGTGCACCTTTCACAGAATAACGTCCCAAAGTGCTTCACAGAGTAAAATATTAGAATTAAGACCATCAAAACAGGAAAGAAACAATAAGCCTTAATAACAGACCTTAAAAAAAACACACAAGATTTAAGTATGCGCATGATGTTACTATGTGATACGTCGAAGGCAAAGTCTTCATTTCATTGCAATGCGTGAAAAATTGGGTTTAAATTAGACAGACAGACAAATCAATATTTGCTAGTCCAGAGCTCTGAGAAAACAATTTGGCGATGTCACACCCTGCTTGATGTGAACTGGGCACCCATGTGTGTTATTCACTTGTTGGAGCATAATTGTTTGATATGAGGTTGAGCTGAAACATGTGAAGTCATGTCATGTCCATATACAACACACTACTCAACGCATGTAAAAAACAAAACAAAAAAAATCATAGCGCATACATACTGAAAGTCCTGGCTTTTTAGTGCATAAGCTTTCCTCAATTACATTAATTTATCTGGTGAGAAGGCGACATTTCCTGTGATACAGAATAACCCCTCAGTACTCAGTATGGTACAGAGGCTTAGATCGTCACAAAAGCAACATTTTGCACAGAGACTCAGAAAGAGGAAACTGCCACCATCCTCTGATTACAAAAGGTACACTGAGAAGCACCTTTAAAAGTAAGTTTTTCAGTTTGAGAGAGCTGCATGAAATAAGTCCAGAGGTCACCTTCAGGAGCAGGAGGAAGAGGAGAAAGATGAAGAAA